TTAATTAAATGTTGCAGCATAATTAATGTGAGGAGCAAAAGACTTTTTAGGGATACGTACATAAGAGTAATTTTGAAAAAATAAATTAAATTTGTTACTGATTATATAAATGAATATTTATTTTGGACCAAAATAAAAAGACAAATTGATCACTTATACGAGAGGGAGTACTACGCAGCATCACAGAAACAATAGCAAATACTAGACTTTTCAAAGTTTCCAATAACTAATTAGCAGGTATGTGTATATAGATGTCCTTAAGTCCTTTCCTTAATTGTATGAGTATAAGGATGAGTCGATTGATACCGGGACACCCAATAAGTCAGTGTTTCATCTATATTATTTTTTATATAAGTCCTAATTATTATTTATACATTATAACTTAGGCTCTGGTTAGAGAATATTTTACTTAACTTTGTTAAGAGAATAATTGAAATTGCACCAAGAGTTTGGCAGGTTTCTCTCATCTACTATCGCATTAATTAAGAGAATCTTATATAATAATTATTAATGTCCTCTATAAAAATAAAAATAAAAATAAAAACTATTTGCACAAATCGAGATGCATATGGGTTTAAACTAACAGTTGGAGATTGAAATTTTGAACAACTAAGTTCGCATGATTTGTAATAAATTAATTATTCATTTTAGTGTTACATGTATAGCTACAGTCACTTGACAGTCAAGATTAAGAATATTTAGTTTAATCTTTCTCTTGGTACATGAAGCATTTAATTAAATCATTAAGCTTAAGTTAGACCAACATTGTAGGACAACTATGGAATGGAAAAATAAAAAGTTTACATTTACACTCAAGTTTACATGGGACTTTGAAGTATTGTAGTGCAACAATATCTATACTTTCTTAAACAAATTGAAGTTGGCTATTTAAAATATTATAGTAAAGCATTTTAAATTATGTGGATGTACAACTAATCTTTGTTTATCACACTCTCATGAGCAAGAACTCACTATGAAATGGCAAATTTGATTTTTATGTTTAGATATTGGGGCCATTGGTTGAGAAGAAATGTTTTATGGTAGTTTTAGCAAATCTCTGAATTAACATATCAGTGGGGAAAAAAGTTTCTTCGTTCAATAATTTTTTATGTATTTGGTATCTTTATTCTTTTATTTGTGAGGACAAATTTTTGGTTTAGCACCGATTTAATATTTGTCTGAGTACTATTATTGCCTCTCTTCTTTTTAATTTTCTTTCTTTAGTACATATCATTCAATTTTTTGAAAAACTACCCCTAATGGATGGTCTGTTTATTACATGATAACTATATTGAAATAAGAATAGTATTGGCCTCTTTGCTATGAAGGCAATTTTAGATTTTTGCCATAGCTTAAAACGAATGATCTAATTCTTTCATGTACCTCTCAAAAGATGATTGTGTACTTCTAACATTTTGATAAGTTAAATATTTTTGGTGTGTGATGCTTTTTAATAGAAGATTTAATCCAAATAGTCGTTCACCAAACCATTTAAACTAAAAATGTCCGGTGTAAGTACAATATATGTATAATTTATGTATTATATGTATATAATTATATATATTTACTGTATAATCTATGTATATGGCTAGAAAAAGTAAACAATAAATATGACTGTCTATTTGTGTAAAAAATCTTATTTAATATCTGTAATTCATCGGATATTGGTTTTTGACATATTTTATTTATATAAAATTATAAAGTTTTCAACTTTGAAGTGTCCAATCTTGTTGATTTGGGCGAGCTTCGTCTTTCGTATGGAGAAAAATATTTTGATGCAGATTTGCGAGAAATACTTTTATCTTCAAAAACAAAGTTAATGTTATAGTCACACAGTTCATTATTGGTCGCAAATAAGGTAGTATAATTCAAATACTTACAAATATCCAATTTTAATTTGTTCTTTGACTTTCCTTTTTTTTATGAAATTTTATACTTTCATTGGTAGTTCTTGAAAAAGATGTAGTGCTCAACATTTGATAAGTTAACTGTTTTAATTTATTAATTATTTATTCTTGATTAAATTTTCACAAATTTAATTATTTTCACCTTTGACGTGTCCCATCTTGAGTGAGTTTCATATGCAAAAAAAATATCTTGATAAATTTTTTAGTGAGAAATATTTTATCTTAGAAAATAAGTTAATGCTATAGTAAATGTGCAAGCCAGAAACAATGTATACTTTTCAATTACTCTCAATAACATCAAATTTTAATATGTTCTCCAAGTTCTTATTTAGAAAAAGTGCACTTTTATTAAATGGCGTTAGATAAGAGAGTGAAATTTCATAAAATTATGACTATCAATAATTTTCTGTTGATTGTTTATGGTGCACTGATTTCGAACTTGACCTAAGAAATTTAAGTTTGAAGTTATTTTGTTAATTATCTAGAAAGGATCCAATTTTTTACTACTATATTGTGTTTAGACTTAGTATAAGAACTACATGTATCTAATTATACTTTGATCGTTTATATTTATAACTTTAGACAATATCTAATCATCTTAATCTCGATAAAAAAATTATAATATTTGAATATTTTTGTTTTAATAATATTAATATTATTTACATCATGTTTGTCATGGCTCGGAATACACGTGTCGAGAAATTAGTATATATTTAAATAAAGAAACAGATTTCGAATACCATATGCTTGACAACTGATTCTATTCACCTGTGGACCACAAAATCACATAACATTGTGGATTTTGCTGATTCGATAAACATTTTTTTAGTAATACAATAACTAAAAGTTGCGCTTCTGATACTGCGATATCTCGAGTTTAGTGCGTATCACACAGAATTATAGGGAGATACTTGGAATATTTTAATATTGTACAAATATATGATCTAGGAGTATCTTTTATTCACGTGGAAAGTTGGTACTGTCTTTATTGTCGTCATTTAAATCAAAGCACTTGACCTTTGAAATGGAAATGTCAGACACCTACCCCATTTTTAATACCTGCAACAGAAGAGACAAATCAAAGCTGGCCAAGCAAACGAGGAGTCCGGGAAAAAAAAGTGTGATTATTTTGGACTCAAACGAAATAAATAAATAAAAATAAAATTGTGTACCATTTTATATATAGTGTCAGTGGTGGAGTCACATTTAACCAAAGGGTGTCAAATTGATATCACTTTGCTAGAAAATTATACTGTATTGTTAGATAAATTTTTTTTGTTTTATATATATTTATTATACGTTGACACCTCTTAATTTTTCGGTATATTTAATTTTTTATATCTTGACACCCCTTAGTGAAAATCCTGGCTCCGCCACTGTATAGCGCGATTATTCACCGCGCTATATTTGAACTCAAAAAGGGCGGGAGGTATAGCGCACATATAGGATGTGCTATAGTATAGCGCATCCTATATATGCGCTATACCCTTAAAAAAGCGGTCATCCATCTTCCCCGACTAGAAAACTAGTAAACCCCCTTTCCCCATTCCAGCGGTCCCCTCCCCCTCCCCCCCCCATTTTTAAAGCAAAAAAAACTCATTGAAGCCCACCCGTCCCACAAAAAGTGTATCTTCTCCGTATTGTAGCAAGCTAACACCGGATCTAAGTGGTTATTGCGTAGTGGATTGCTCGTTTCGGCCCTCAAATCATCAAATTTTCACCTTTCAAAAAATTTTAAATCGAGGTATTCCGACTTACTTTTTGGTAAAACTCATGTATAAAAAATGCGTATTAGTTATTTTTTACTGTGGTCTATTTTTTTTTAGTGATTGTTTTGTGATTTAATTAATTTGTTATTTTTTATCCGGTTTAAATTATTTATGTGCTAAAAAATTAGTAAAATAGATAAATTATTATTTTATGAATAATTAATGTTATTAGTTGTTATAAAAATTATTTATTAGTTATTTTTTACTGTGGTATATATTTTTTTGTGATTGTTTTATGATTAAATTAATTTGTTATTTTTTATCCGAATTAGATTATTTATGTGCTTAAAATTTAGTAAAATAGATAAATTTTTATTTTATGAATAATTAATGTTATTTGGATTTTATTATTGTACGTATATTAATATGTGACTTTATTATTTTTTAGTACCCTTTAGTGTTATGTTGTGCCCGTAATTATAATTTAGTGCCCGTAATTGTAATGTAATGCCCTTTAGCGTAGTAAAACTGATAATAAATTTTAGCTAATGGTAGTTGACTTTGTATAAACTAAAATATGAAATATAAATATAGAAAATTTATCAACCTAAGTATCTGTTATATGAATAATTACTAAATTACCTTTGTAGTTATTGAAATTAATTATTTAATTATCGGTTAACCCCAAAAATATCTGAAAAATGATAGTTCAAACACAAACTCTCTCGAATTTTAGCCAACAAATGTAAGAAATAACATAAAAATAACAATATTTGTCAAACTAAGTATTTTTGTATGAATAATTATTACTTATATCATGTATAGTTATAAAAATTAATTATTTAATTCTATTATACCCAAAAATAACTGAGTAAGAAACAAACATATAAAATAATAAACGAACATATAAAATAAGAAATAAATATATAAAATAATAAACTAACATATAAAATAATATAATAAACTAACATATAAAATAATAATATAGAAAATGTAACAACCTAAGTAATAATATAGTAAAAATATCAATTAAATATTAATATAAAAGAGATTGCAATATGTTTAAAGATGTTAAGCAATCAAAAAGAAAAATACTTTAATTAATATTGTTCAATTTACAGACATCATCATGGAGGTTCCCCCTATGCATCTCGGACCTACATCTCGAGAGCTACTGTTGCTACAGGACAACCATAGGTCTTCATACATCTGGGATGGGCAGTGTCTGGCCCAGACATTCCGCCCCAGATGTATAGATGATATGTGGGAGTACATTAGGGACCACCCACTCCATCCCCGTATAGTTAGACGCCTTTAGGATACGGGTTTCTACAGGATCATAGAGATCGGCCGGTTGCAGTTCGACTGGGCGTTGATCACGGCTATGATAGAGTGGTGGCGACTGGAGACGCACACATTTCATCTACCCTTCGGCGAGGCTACCATCACGCTTGAGGATGTGGAGGTTCTTTTCGGGCTACCGGTTGATGGATTACCTGTAGCTTACCCGCATGCTCTTAGAGACTATAGGGGAGTGCATTACCTGCATATGTTGCAGCGGCTCACCGGTTTCCAACCAGCGGAGCCGACTACATTGAGTGGGGCCATTCGATTGCATCTGACACCCGTCCGACAGCATCTGGCGGCAATGGATGCGGAGATTATGGATGATTCACCGCCGGAGGATATCGACCGGCACACGAGATTGATGATGCTGCTGATGTTAGGTGGTGTACTGTTCTCGAACACTTCGGAAAACCTAGTCAGTTTGAGATTTCTACATTATCTGGAGCGACTAGATGATTTACCTGGTTACAACTGGGGTGCAGTTGTTCTAGGTTAACTGTATAGGCAGATGTGTCGGGCGTGCATGGGCACCCAGAGAGACGTTGTCAGATTTTTACCGCTGCTGCAGGTAAAAACATAGTCAATTCTTTTCATGATTATAACATACATAGTAAAAAAATACCTTAAATTTTACGTCCACAATCTATATTAGGTTTGGGCTTGGGAGCGGTTCCTGCAGTTCTAGCCACCTCTACCACTGATCGCTCTGCATGCACCACCTCCACCATTTCTCCCTTTAGCTTGGAGGTAGGTTGATAGGCGAGGCTATGGACGTAAGGTCGAGGCTCGACATCATCTCCCCTGTTACAGGGATTTGTTGGATTTGCTTGAAGGCGCGCAAGTACATATATACTTAAGTTTACTTGGCCTGGCTTTATATGTGTTGCATTTACTCACGATTCTTGTGTTTAATAAATAGTTTGTATGGAGGCCATACAGTGACGCGCTCATAGCTGGTTTGCCCGATTATTGCTCCCGCGGTCGAGCTATGTGGAACTCTTCCATCCTATTGATATGTCTCGATATAGTCGAGCATCATGCCATGAGTGAGTCCTTCGCCAGTTTGGTCGACCGCAGCTTGTACCTATTCCGCCCACTTGGGTTAGGACACATTACCAGTGGGATAATTGTTGCAGGGTTGATCAGACATACTTGGCCTAGCTAGAGGCCCAGATTGAAGTTTGGGACCAGAGGTATGACCTGATTTCGCCACACCCTCCACCTGAGCGTAAGGATGGCGAGCATGAGTATATGGGTTGGTATTGCAATGTTACCTGACTTCTCGTCGGGAATCCTGTTCATCGCGCTGGTGGTCGGTACATTCCATACGCCGGGAGACATGAGACACTGGTATGTTATTTGTTATACTTACTTATAACGTTACATTATCCTTCCGTAATTAATATTTTACATGTTATGTAGGCTATTGGCTTACATCAGTTCTACCAGTTGGGACTGCAGATGTTGCAGCACACCGGCGAGGGAGCTACAGCTTTACATGTGTTTGGCTGTCGGGTTACTGATCTTGCTGCCGAGACATTGAGACGTGCCCGAGATGATGAGCGCTTAGGATACGAGGCTGCTTATGTGCCGCTAGAGGAGTACCATCATGGGCCACCAGTCGAGCCTGAACGTGGTAAACGTGGCAGGCGTGGCCAGAGAGAAAGGGGTGTCCCACGAGGTCGTGGTGGTCGGCGAGGATGGGGTCCCCGGCAAGGGGTCGTTGAGGCACCCGTGGAGGATATTAGAGATGATCAGCCAGGTGAACACCCTGAGCCACACGATGCTCCTCATGATATGCCATAATTTAGCCTTCAGCTATCGCCAGGGACTTCGCAGTTGACCCCGTCAGCTTCATTGTTGATCGCGGGCACGAGCATTATGCGACAGGAGTGGGATCAGTATTTTCCTGATCCCCCAGAGCCATCGACGGTTGGTGATGATCGTCCGACACGAGAGGTGCATAGTGGGCGACGATTGAGTTATGGCTCATTATCGAGGGATGTTGAGGATCTTTCACATACTTCATTTACTTTAGTGCACCTTGATGTTCCGATAGAGTATTGTGGCGCTACTCAGGCACAGGTTTTTTTGTATTATTATTATTTCTAATTTTTTTTTATCTCATTGATTAGTCAGTAATATCTAAAGCGTTTTTTTTAAAGACATCGTCATCGCCCGTCACGGAGGCCACATTGTGCGATACTGACATGCCAGAGACGGATGATCTTATTCAGGAGCCTGCTGAGACCATGATATGACCATTACATTATTTTTTGCTAATACGTATGTTAGTAGTTTTTATTTCATATACTAAAATATCTTATTATTCTGTAGGTTACTGCTGGCCCGACGACCACTTCTACCGAGTATGCCAGCCTTACCGATGATCATGCTGCAACGCATCCTCTGATAAAGAGGCGACATGATAAGGATGATCCTGATAGCGTAACCGGGCGGGATGGGATGCGCCTCAGGCCAGCCAATGCTTTAAAGCATACAGGTTGTGGGACACATTGACATTTATTATTATTTGTATATATGACGTTAAATATATAATAGCAACATTATTTATGTTTTACATAATTTGCGCATGTATTTTTATTTCTCGGGTTATTTATTAGTTTAACACTATAACAAAAAAAATGACAACTTAACATAAAATTTAAATTCATTACCAATTAAAGATAATACATTGTTACGACCCAAACCGATGGGCCACGACGGGCACCCAGTGTCTTACCTAACCGAGCACCAACGTAACGTATCCTTCTTATCATACCATCATGGGTAAATAGGCCAGAAATGATGTTATGAGATAAACAGAATAAAACATAAGAGGATATTAGACATATGGCGACCCAACATGATATAGAAACTTATACATGTGACATACGGGCCTATAAAGACGACATGATCATACAAGTATCCATAAACATGATATCTGTCTACAAGCCTCTAAGAGTACATAAATATCATAAAGGTCGGGACAGGGTCCCGTAATACCAATTGATACATGTCCAAATCATACCGACCAAATAGGCAACTCCGGAGCAAGTGAAGTGCACCAACACCTTCCGCTGAGGTGATATCCTACTAAGGGTACTATCAACCTGTCTATCGGGACCTGCGGGCATGAAACACATCATCCCCAGGAAAAAGAGACGTCAGTACAAATAAAGTACCGAGTATGTAAGGCATGAAAGCAGTATATAAAATATATGAAAGAAACATGGAGTAAAGAACTCAACCTGTAAGTCTGAATAGCTCTGTGAATTATGAAATATTTATAATGTCATGCATATGCGTATAAATGTCACATCATGCATAGGTCCTCTGAGAGCATCCCATCATATCATCTCGTCCTCTATGGGCAAAATTATCAATGTAGACCAGTTGATAAGATATTATGCTCTTTCGGCTCGTACAGAGGCAGTTGCTTCTTGACTCTGTCATTACAGGTATTGTTCTGGTCTGTCATAGAGATGCGTCGATTTTATTTGATCCAGGCTCCACTTATTCTTACGTGTCCTCTTATTTTGCCCCGTATTTGGGCGTATCTCGTGATTCCTTGAGTTTCCATGTTTATGTGTCTACTCCTGTGGGAGATTCTCTTATTGTGGACCGCGTGTATCGGTCGTGTTTGATTGCTCTTAGTGGTTTTGAGACCAGAGCCAATTTATTATTTCTCAGTATGGTAGACTTTGATGTTATCTTGGGCATGGACTGGTTGTTGCCCCATTATGATATTCTTGATTGTCACGCTAAGACCGTGATGCTGGCTATGTAGGGTTACCACGATTAGAGTGGAGAGGTACCTTAGAATATACTCCCAGCAGAGTTATTTCATTTCTTAAAGCTCAATGAATGGTTGAGAAGGGGTGTGGCGCGTATCTAGCTTATGTGAGAGATGTCAGTATTGATGCCCCTACAGTTAAGTCAGTCCCAGCAGTGAGGGACTTTCCAGATGTGTTTCCAGCTGATCTTCCGGGCATGCCGCCCGACAAAGATATTGATTTTGGTATTGATTTGTTGCCGGGCACTCAGCCCATCTCTATTGCTCCATATCGTATGGCTCCTCCTGAGTTGAAGGAGCAGTTATAGGAGTTGCTTGATAAGGGCTTCATTCGGCCCAGTGTGTCACCTTGGGATGCTCCTGCCTTGTTTTTGAAGAAGAAGGATGGTTTTATGCGTATGTGCATTGATTATCGCCATCTGAACAAAGTTACAGTGAAGAACAAGTATCCATTGCCTCGTATTGATGATTTATTTGATCAGCTACAGGGTGCCAGGGTGTTTTCCAAGATTGATTTACGTTCCGGCTATCATCAGCTGAAGATTCGGGAGCCAGATATCCCGAAGACTGCTTTCAGGACTCGGTTTGGTCACTACGAGTTCCTTGTGATATCATTTGGGTTGGCCATTGCCCCAACAGCTTTTATGCACTTGATGCACAGTGTGTCCGGCCTTATCTTGACTCTTTCATCATTGTTTTATTGACGACATTCTGGTGTACTCCCGGACTCGGGAGGATCATGAGCAGCACCTGAGGACTGTGCTTCAGACCTTGAGAGAAAAGAAGTTATATGCAAAATTTTCAAAGTGTGAGTTTTGGCTAGACTCAGTGGCATTCTTGGGTCATATAGTATCGAGTGATGGGATCAAGGTGGATCCGAAGAAGGTTGAAGCAGTGCAGAGTTGGCCTAGACCGTCCTCAGCTACGGAGATCTGGAGTTTTCTTGGTTTGGCAGGGTATTACCATCGATTTGTAGAGGGTTTCTCATCTATTGCAGCACCTATGACCAGGCTGACCCAGAAGGGTGCTCCGTTCAGGTGAACAGAGGAGTGTGAGGAGAGCTTTCAGAAGCTCAAGACATCTTTACTACAGCCTTAGTATTGGTATTGCCTACAGGTTTGGGGTCTTATACTATATATTATGATGCGTCGTGGATTGGTCTCGACACGGTGTTGAGGCAGGACGGTAGGGTGATTGCCTATACGTCCAGATAGCTGAAGGTGCATGAAAAGAACTATCATGTCCACGACCTTGAGTTAGCAGCTATTGTTCATGCCTTGAAGATTTGGCGGCACTATTTGTACGGTGTCCCTTGTGAGATCTACACCGATCACCAGAGTTTGCAGCATCTGTTCAAACAGAAGGATCTTAACTTACGTCACCATATTGTACCATCCGGGGAAGGCTAATGTAGTGGTCGATGCTTTGAGTTGCCGGGTAGAGAGTTTGGGGAGTTTAGCATATCTACCAGCAACAGAGAGGCCATTGGCGTTGGATGTTCAGGCCTTAGCCAGCCAGTTTGTGAGATTGGATATTTCTGAGCCGAGCCTAGTATTGGCTTGTGTGGTCTGTCGGTCTTCTCTTTATAATCGTATCAGGGAGTGTCAGTATGATGACCCCCATCTGCTTGTCCTTAGGGACACGGTTCAGCACAGTGATGCTAAGGAGGTCACTATTGGGGATGATGGTGCAATGAGGAT